AGAAATATGATCCCCACTTGGATAAGTGGATAGAAGTAAAAGAGATGGGTCAGCGAAGGGCTGGGAACGGTGTCAGTGAGCTCCACGGCTGCTTGTATGTTGTGGGTGAGTAGGGATGTGGCATTTTGTAGTGCTGCTGCTGCTGCTGCCAAGTGCTTGGCTTTGGAAGAGGCTGTTGTTGCTAGAGGAACTGGGAACAGATAGAGCTGACCTGTACTTGGTGTTCTTGGGCAGGAGAAGAATGCAAGCACAACCAGGTCATGCTTAAATGAAGGTACATTAGTAAGGAAATGAAAAGCAGCTCCTAACCCACATTTCAGGAGGGCTGATCTGTTCAGGACAATACAACTTTATTAGAAAATCCTCTCAAGACTCACTATTCTTGAGTTTTCTTTTAGGAAACGATTCTGGAGTTCACGTGCTTTCAAACATAACTCCAGTTGTGATCTGAGTGTAGACAGCAGTAGCTTTTTTTGCACTTACTCCACAGCTTCTTGTCTTCTGTGCTGGCTTGTATTTACCTGCTTTCCTGAGAGAGGAAGATGCCGAGTAGGTGTGCCACAGTGATAGTTTAAAAAGCTCTGATTTGTGTATTATTGTAAGTGCTTATATATAATTTGAACAAAATGCTCCTCTGACAGTTTCCCCAGCAAGAGGAATGCATCACTTAGTCTTATATGAAATTTTTTCCCCTACTTAAATATTTGCCAATGCTGTAATTTGAGAACACTGCTAGAGTATGTTTTGCATAAAGTAAAATAAGTTTGAGACCATCCTTTTACTGGTGTTAGGTTTCTTTCTCTTCCAATTGGGAAGCTGTTTCATTATAAATATTATGAATTCAGAGGGAAAAATAAGAAAATTAGAATTCTTGCAACTTGAGTAGGAGAAAGTCATTGCTCAGGTGATGCTTGAGCAGTGAGAAGAGGGTGAGCTGTTGGATTAATTTTTAGGAGCTTGTAAAGTTCTGGTAAGCAGAGTGCCAGACAGGGCCCCCAAATGCTGAGAATGACCTGATAGTGCCAGTCTTGGATATTCCCTGCACAGCAGTGCCAGCAGCTGACCCTGTGGTGGTTGTTTGCAGGTGGGTTTGATGACAACTCGCCGCTGAGCTCGGTGGAGCGGTTTGACCCTCGCTGTAACAAATGGGAATACGTGGCAGAGCTCACGACTCCCAGGGGCGGTGTTGGCATAGCAACACTGATGGGAAAAATTTTTGCAGTTGGAGGTCATAATGGCAACGTGTACCTGAATACAGTGGAAGCATTTGATCCCATAGTGAACAGGTAATTTCAAATGTTTTGTTTGTCCTAATAAGACAAGGAAATCTGCCTGTATAAAACCAAAGCTGCATAGAAGCAGTGTGCAGGAGGAGCCTAGCTGTTGTTTCCTGGTAATAACTGAGTCATATCCATGGCTATCAGTGCAGGACTGCTGCTTATATCACTAGGGCAGTCTTGTAAATATTTAAGGACCTCCTTCCTCCTCTGCTTCTCTCTAATCCTTGTTGTCGCCCTTTCATTCAGTAACAATCTATACTCTTGTACTTGTTTGAGTCTGATTTTGGACTAAATGGAGTGCATTTTTGTGCAAAGTGGAGAGCTAGGCAGTGTAATAGAATTTCAGGCACAGAAAATACTTTCAGGTTGCTCAGAAAGGGCAGGAACTTATTTTTCTTTTTGCCCTGCAGGTGGGAGCTCGTGGGCTCGGTGTCGCACTGCAGGGCAGGGGCAGGCGTGGCCGTGTGCTCCTGTCTCAGCAGCCAGATCCGGGATGTGGGCCAGGGATCCAGCAACGTTGTGGATTGCATGTGAGCCCTGCCATCTCCTCCAAATTCCAAAGGAATGCTGCAAGGGAGGCACCACAGAGCTTCTAAACACTGTGTTTTGTATGGTAGGTTAAGGAATAAATCCAGTACATTTTCTTTGTGAAAATGGTATTTTCTGCAACTGTAAAGCTTTTGGTGGCTTTCTATCAATAGTGATACAGAAAAGCCAGTGAAAACATGGAATAAAAGTGTGACCCACAAGAAGAAACTTGCCAAGAACTGCAATCATCCCATTTCTGAGAAGCTACAATTTCAAAATCATTTGAGGCAGCTGTTGCAAGGACTCAATATTGAACTGTAAATCAGGCATGTGGTAAGGAGAGCAGCAGCAGCTACTGCTACATGTTCTCTTGAGGACTCGAGTGCCATTTCATTTAACTTATTTTCTGGAATGGAGTCTTAAATGTTTCCCAGTTGTACAAGAGCTTTGTAACAGAAGGTGTCTCTAGTTTTAGAGGTAACGACATCTCTGATGTACCCTGAGATAACTGAGGCAGAGAAGTTCACTGCTTATCTCCTAAGGGAATGCTGGCAGCAGTGGAAATTGCAGGGATTCTGTCTGAAAACTGTCTTTCAAAGTACTTTCTCAAATAATAAACTTGTTAGAAAGCTGGAAAGATTCTTGACCTGAGTTTAGCCACTGGAATACTGCCACTCTCTAGTCTTCCATAAAATTTGTAGTTACTACCCCCTTTCCAAAGGAGAGTTTCTGTTGAGGGGTCCTGAAGTAACCAGTATAATTTGTCCTATTTTGAGATGATAGTGTGTAAAAATGTAGGCTTCAGTGGTGTTTTGAATCACCATTTTTATAGAAAAGGGAAATGCATAATAAAATTTGTGGTATTCTGTAAAACTTTTTAAGTGCAACGCTGGAAGACTCGACTGATTTCAGTATCCAGTAGCAACTCTGCTAACATTTTTGAGTTACTTGCTCTTTTAAGGGAGCAGATAAATAACCTCAAAACCTTAAATGAATCAAAGGGAGTCAGCAAGAAAAATAATTGGGAATAAACCAGTACTTCCATCAAAAAAAATTGAGATAGCAACATAACAGCCCTGCATACAAAGATGTCTTGTTACCCCATTACAAACCCTGAATCCCAGGTGAAGTCCTGCAGGAAAGACTGCAGATTCCTGTTCCTGCATCGCCTTGAACAGACTGACAATCCTTTGTGACCAAAGTTCCACAATTGCCAGGTTGTTCCAAATGCCCAGGAAGAGCAGTAAACTTCTCTGTATTCAGGACCTGGAGGAAGCAGGACAGCCAGAGTGAGGAGGCACAGTTGTGTTTTTCTGCTGAGTTACCGTCATTTGGCTTTCCTGCCCAAAATTGCTTTGCACTTTGGTGTACTTTTTGCACCCAAAGGGAATGGTACTGTAAATAATGAAATATTGCAATAAAACATTTTTACTTCAAAGCACCTCATTTGTTGTATGTCTGAGAAACAGCATTGTGTATTTTTTGGTTTCTGCAGTGAACATTTATCTACAGGAAGCTTCTTCTATCAGAGAGAATCCTGCATTACTGCCATGGGCTGCACCACCCTGCTGCCCTCCTCACAAGGATGTGGTTCCCCTTGTGGCTCTTCACCTGACTCTGACGTGTGAAAAGGAGGGATAAAAGTTCCCTCTCTGGGACCAAATGGATGTCCTGGCTAACATAAGCCCTGAGTTTACCAAATGGCCCTGGCTGTGTGGAGTGGTTTTGCATGGGAGGCACTTGCAGAAGTGATGCAAAGAGAAAGCTGATACACCTCTGTGAGCACTCATGTGAAAAAAGGAAAACTCATGGGAAATCTCTTTTCTGGTTGAAAAGAGGCAACAGTGGCTGGGCTGGGCGCCCCTGCTGCAGGCCAGGGCCCCTTCTAAACCAAAACCACTCTGCTGTGAAAGCAGAAACCAGGTGGCCTGGCAGTGCAGGCTGCCAGCTGATGCACTTCTCTTCTCGGTAGGGAAGTGTGGCACCCGTGGGTGCAGCCTGTGGGTGACATGTGTGTGAACCACACTGAGCACATCACTGCCAGGCACCAAAGGGAGAAGCAGCAGGGAAATCAGGTAACAGCAAAAGCTCTGGGATCCTCTGCCGTGTGGGAAGAGCTGGAAGTCACATGGTGCTAGCTCTGAACAGGATCCTAAAACAGGCATCTCATTTGTATTTCAATGTACACCCCCGCCCCAACACTCTTGTCAGGGCTCTGGAGGTGTATCCCTAAGGACTGGCAAGATCACTGCAAAGCAGGTTTATAGGGAACAGCCTGTTCCCAGAACAGTGGTGTCCCACGTTGTTAATCTTGGATGGCACCACAGCTAAATAAATGCATTTTGTGCAGAGCTGGTTTTAGAATCGCTATTGCTGGAAATGTGCTAATGACGACAAAGTATAACAAGAAATAAAAATACAGAGTTACTGTGGTGACAAACTTGATCTGCCTGCACATAAAGCTGTTGTGATTTGACACCTGTCCTGGCAAGGAACCGTGATGACAAAAGAATTTCCCCTCCATTCCATGCTGAGGGACTGAGCAGCCACAGTGGAAGAAGGCCCTACTCCCCCCACCTTATTTATTTTATGTTTAAAGGGAATTGTGGTCCATGTGGTTATACTGCTCCAGCTTCAAATACTGTTTAATACTCCTCTTTCCCTGTGGAATTTCATTCCTCATAGAGCCATTCGGACAGCAAAACTCTTTGCTTTTGATATCCTGCTAAAATACTCAGCTAAGAACAGAAAGTTTTAAAAGGCAAAGCATATGATGATACTTGTATTTTTTAAAATAGAAACCAAATACATGTGTCCACTTCTATCAGAAAGACTGCAGACTTCCCTCCTGTTTGAATACCAGCTAGTGACAGTGGTCACAGAGGTCTGAGGATGAGGAAAGAGGCAAGGATCTGACTCCATGTTTCAGAAAGTTTGATTTATTATTTTATTATATAGATTATATTAAAACTACACTAAAAGAATAGAAGAAAGGATTTCATCAGAAGGCTGGCTAAGAATAATAAAAGAATGAATAACAAAGGCTTGTTTGAGAGTCTGACTGTGATTGGCCATTAATTAGAAACAGCTGCATGGGACCAATCACAGATGCACCTGTTGCATTCCACAGCAGCAGATAACCATTGTTTACACTTTTTCCTGAGGCCTTTCAGCTTCTCAGGAGAAAAAATCCTAAGGAGAGGATTTTTCAGAAAATATCATGGCTACATTTCACCCTTTTTATTCTAATTAAATTAAAAAGAGAAGTGTTTGTAATTTTGTCGGCTGTGCCCATGCAGAGGAAAGAACAAACACCCACTGGTTTCCAGAGGACATGAGCTACCAGATCTTTTCTATGGGATCACCACTTCATCTGGCCTGCTACCACCACCCTGACTAGCAGGGTGTCAGGTTGTATTCTGCCTGTGTCAGTGGTTTTTCTTTTGCATTATTACATGTATTTTGGGTTTTTTTCCCTTTTTATAATAAATTGTGTTTCTGACTTGGAGTCTCTTACTGGTTTTGCTTTCAAACCAGAACAAACAGTCATCTTGTTCATGTCCTAGAGTAGCCCCAAGTGAAAACAATGAGCATCTTTCCTAACCTATTGCAGGCCCTGACCTGGCTCAAGGTTGAAATACAATGGATTTTTTAAAATTTTCTGTTATTTCATAGAATCATAGAATGGCATGGGTTGAAAGGGACATTAAAGATGGTTTCATTCCAACCCCCCTGCTATGGGCAGGGACAACTCCAGGGACGAGGAGTAAATAAGGTTTGATAGGTAAAATGGGGAGGAGGAATATGGACCTGCCTTCCTCCCATTAGAGCAGTTTATCCCTGAAGTGATAAGAATTTTAATAGAGTGAACATAAAAGGCCAATCCCTTGAAGATGCAGAAAGATCCAGCCTTAATCCCGGTGGTCCTGCAGGGCCAGAAGGCAGAATGACTCCAGGCAGGAGCATTTCTGCAGAAACCCCTTTTGGAAAGGTGGGCATTTTGCTGGTATTTATTGTTCATTTTCTTGAGCCTCAAACCCACAAACAGGCATTTTACAAAGGGGGTACTGCTAAATCTGTGCTGACCTGTTCCTACATCATAAAATGACGTGGAGATAATTCTTTCTTGTAATCACAATTATTTGGGGATACAATCCTTCCCTCCACATTGGCACAGGTGTGTCAGAGATGGGGAAGGCATGTGACAGCAGCAGAGGGCTAAGGCAGACACACCACTGGGTGTGAGGATGGCAGGATGCTGCTGTCACACACCAGGAAATCTTTGGGTAGACAAGAGTGTCAACACACTGGACTAGCAGGTGATAAATCAAGATTCCAGAATCTCTCACTGATATCAAGCATCTGTGTTTTATTGACTGTCTTATGACCATTACCAGTAATTTGCATTCATGTTGCGATACTGTGACTTGAGCAGGTAGATGGGGGAATATGACTGTAAAAAGGAACATCCTCATCTGTGTTTGAGGCACAATGAAACTACTTATGCAAGTAAAATTTCTTGTTTAACAGTTTTTGAACTTGATTCTAAATATCTTGGATAAATAACATTGATCCAAAGCCCATCAAAGTCAACTGAAAGGGTTTTGGGCTTTTCTTTTTTTTTCACAGAAGTGTGATTTCTCTGACAAAATAGCTCCTTGAGCCATACTGCAAGAATAATTCCCAGGAAATCTTTGGGTAGAGAAGGGTGTGAACTGAACACACTGGTGCTGTGGATGTTGCCTCCACTGTTAGCATGGCAAGGGAGAAGTGCTTGCAAACAGCTCATTTTTCCCTTTTGGATTCCCTTGGCAGGTTTCTAAGGCACTGGGCCTATCCAAGGGTGTGGCTGAGTCCTCTCCCACAGGAAGGACACCCTACTTTGGTACCAAATTCTGCTCTTGGACACTCACTGAGACCACCAGTGCTTGCAGGCAAATATCCAAATAAAAATATGACTTTTATGTTCCCCATTCAGCCATTTCTTTCCTCCTCTGTCAGAAGAGATTCCTTTCCCTGGAGCCTCTCAGACTCCCAACAATGTCCAAGCAATCCCAAGGACCCGTTGCAGTTTTGTATCTCCACCAACCCAAATGCCAAAAAGCAGCCCAGGGAGGAATCCCCCCCCTCAGTCGTATCCCTCCAGCACAGGGGACAGACAGAGCTGTTTCCAGCCACACTTCAGGTGTCATTGTGCCACCCAAACTTGGGTCTGACGAGGCTGAAACTGAGCAAGACCCTTAGTAACACAGTCTGAGTGCAGATTTCCTTGGCAGCAATAGGTGTGACAATGGTCCTGTTAGTTATTCATAATAGAGACATTTATAGAGCACCACGACATGGGCCCATTCCAACAATTCATTGCACTAGGTCATTTCATAGGCAAGTATCACATCTCATCCCTTCTTTTGCAAGCTAGAAAAGCATTACCTTCAAAAACCACACGCTTTCCAAAAGTAACCAAAAGAACTTACAACTGTATTTAAAACAAAACAATGCAGGTGCTTTGCATTGAACAATAAATAAAACCAAAACAAAACTCTTTGTAAGCTTTCAATGGAACGGAGAACTTGGAACTATTTACATCCTGGAGACCAATCAAGGCACTTGGTTCCAGTCTGGGTCACTGTAAATTCTGTCTCATTCCGTGTATGAGGTCAGGCCAGCTCTTGGTCATATCACTTGGCTTTGTTCAGCAGAAAACTCTGGAACAAAAGGAGGGAGAGAGAAAATATTTGGTTGGATTAATCCAACAAGCACACCTGGCAGAACACAATCAATGACTGGAGTGACTTTTACTACAAGAGGACCTGCAAAACTTCTTGACTTTCAGCAGCTGCCTCTTTCTGGAGAGGATTTTTACAGCCTCCCAGCCACTCAGCCAGGTGCATCATGTTTATATTCTTTTGCAAGTTTGCCAGCAGATCATGGCAATGCATCCCTTTGCCCAGAGAAGCCCACAAAACTTGGTATTTTATGGAAAATGACACTGCAAAGGCCCCATGGGCAGGTTACAGTTTTCAATATTCCCCACTGCTTGCACCACAGGACAATGCAACACTTGTAATGACTAAAATGTGCAAGAAAAAATGTATCAGCAACTCTAGGAATTTCTGTTGGCCAATACTGATTAAAGACCCAGCAAGGATTCAAAAATTCAAGTGCTGTTCAGCTGTAGCCAAGTGACTTAAGCAAGTGCTTCCCTGACAGGGCAGCTCTCCCATGCCTCCCTCTCTCTTTGCTCCCAAAAGTGATCGTGAGGAAGCAGAAGCCAGGGTGGCTGCAGGGCCAGCCCTGTCTGGTGTCTTCAGAAACTCCAGGCAGGGTTGTAAAGCAAACACTCACTGTTCTAACTTCAGGTCTTCTTGTCTTGTCTTCATGTGGCAGAGAAATCACTGGAAGAAGATTCTTCTCATCCCCTGCTGATCCCTGAAAAACCACAGAGAGAAAGCTGGTCAGAGAGAGATGCCTAAAGGGATTCCAAAGCCAGGTTTTCCTACATTTCCAGAGAAAACGTTCATTTCTCCCAGGCACAGTCTATGCACCGGGCTCTCCCATTCTTGCCTTCTCTCCCAGCAATCCCTCCAATAATTGAAATGGAACCTTGGCTTCTCACCTGGCAGCTCACAGTGCTTTGTACCAATAAACTTTTCCCAAGCACGGAGAAATTCAACAGCATGTTTCCTTGCTCAATGGCTGGGAGCACAGTGAGCGCTGGAAGCAGGAAAATTATTGGGAAAAAGCAAGTAATTAGAAGGCAGCTAATACACTGCACATGGTGTGGCCTAACACTCATAATAGTGTGCAGCCTGACACTCAGCCCTTGCTCCCCTGCCCAAACATCCTAGACCCTATAGCCTGAGCCATCAGTAAACAGCCAAATTTGTATAAAGAGCCAGTAAAATCTAATTTTTTAACCCATAAATGCAACAATTTTGTCCGCATGATATAAAACTTTAGGCCCAGGTTGCGGTCACACCCACAGGTTATTTTTAAGTAAACCACAATTTCTTTTTATAAACATGCTCCTTTTTATAAATACACTCATTTTATCTGCAGTTGCCTACAGTCAGAGATGGTCACTCATCTGAGAGGATGTTTCTGAAGTGAACCACACAGCATGTGAGGGTTGCAGGAATACTCCCACCAGCTCTCCTGCATACCGATGTTGATGCCCTGGGATTCCTCCTTGTGGTCTTCCTCCACTTTCCTGTGCTGGCAAACAAAGGATCCTCGTTTCTGGCAGAGTTATCCACGTCAGGCAGGTCTAGGTCGTCCGTCTCAGTTCTGGGTCTCTTTTGTGTCATTGTCTCATTTGGGTCAAACTCATTTGGTGCACGTTGTGCATAAGTCATGGCCGGCAGTGGTGGCAGCAGTGCCTTTTTCCTCTCAGTTTGGAATGAATCTTCTGATGCTCTGGACAAGAGAGGCAAATCCATGACTATGATGTACATATAATGTAGGCATTTCTTAAAAGCTTGGCTACATCCTGCCATTCATGCCATTGTCTCAACAAGGCAACACTTTCAAAGGTGAGAGGCTTCAAATAAGAGGGAGTTTGAATTGGCAGAGACTTTCACATTCCATAATAGAGTGGCCTAGCACATCTCTGATCATCTGAAATCAGGATGTCCATGGAATTCTGGCAACAAGAAGCAGCACCAAATAGCTTTCAACTTTGTTTCACCACTGCTCATTTCCACCATTTTTAGTCAGCTTCGCAAAGTTTCCAAGAACACACCAAGCAGCGCATCCCAGCTCACTGCAGCATCAGGAGAGCAGGAAATTAAGCTAAACCCAGTGAGAAGGCTCAGGTGTAAGGCTGCACTTCTTGCCTGACTCTGCTGTGCATGGGACAGTCCTGTCACCTCTTTCAGCACTCACTTTTCCCATGCTTTGGTCCCTGCCCACTGCACACAGACTCCCCAGCTGCTCTGCCCTGGCTCAGCTGATGCTGCACCAAGGATGATTTAACACAGAGCACAGCACCAGCCCTGACATGATCCAGAGTCCTCTCTGCCCAAAACTACCTCCTACCCTTCCCACTCCAAAAGCCAGCACGTGACTAAGACAGCTGCTCGCTTTCCCTGAGGAAAAGGGAGAAATTTCAGAATTAAAGTTCTTCCATTCCTAATGGAATTGGAACATCCCTTCACCCAGCCAATCATCAGCCCTAACATCTCTGTGCTTTGAGAGGATGTCAGAAGGGAAAGGCTCCCTACCCTTACCCACCTACACCTTCAGAGCTGCTTTCTGCACTGGCAGCTTCTGTGGAAATTCTTAAAATCAGAGAGTTTTAGGAAAGTTACAAAAAGCAAACCTCAGAGACAACAAAACTACAATTAGACCTAAGCAATGGCCGTAAGATTTATCAACAGAAAGATTATATAAGAAGTAGAAAAATAAGGAAAAATAAAACAATAGTCTGTATATTAACACTTCTCTCAACTCCCTAAGCTACAGAAAAGTTTATCTAGCAAGATATTAAGAAGTCCTAAGCCTAATAATAGAGGTCTGTGCATTATGTTTTAAAGCTTACAAACAAGTATTACATTCAAAATAAGCAAACATCGTTTTAACAAAAAATACTTGTACTTACAGTAGTTAGATAGAACTACTGTCAACATACTTTTGCTTTGTGTGATTGGTCAAAAAACTTTTAAAGCAAGTTGTAACATTAAGTTCTTTGCTACCAAAAATGCAAACTACTAACATCTTCTCATTGTCATAACCATGTAAAAAGACTAATGCTAAAAAATAAACAACATGTTCCACAACAATCCCATCTCATTCATAATTTATACATAAACCCCCAACCAACAGTATCTTCCAGCATGGAAAGCCAATATGCAGCAGCTGTAGTTGCAGAAGGCACACCATGTCAGAAGCAAACTCTGGAGTGTCTGGACAGGAGATACAGTTCTTCATCCTACCCTTCTGAAGAGAGACTTAGATTTACACATCTTTCTGACATGCCATCACAGCATACTCACTTCAGTTTATTGGAGCCTTTGTTTGCTGAAAGCTGAAATTATTTTGTCTTATTCCTTTTTCTTCCTGGGAGTGTCTCCCTTGTCTTCCCTCTAGCAGGAAGAATAAAAACAGAGAGAAAAATTCACAAAGTTCATGTAAAGTACAGACCAATACAGCTCAGTTTGATAGATTCTGGTTGAAAACATTAAAAATAACACACCGGAACTCCCTTTAGAGGAGAAGCACCATGGCTCTACTGCCAGCCTATGAATCAGGAACTCCACATAGGTTTTCCAAACACCACCTTGGTCATTGTCCACACCCACCTCCCCTGGCCCCTCTCACCTTCTTCTTTCCAGGGAACTCCTCAGGACTCATCATGGCTTTCCTCTTCAAGCCTGCCTCCCTTGCAGGCGAGAACCTCTTGTCCCCAGGAGGCCAGGGCACTTTCTTCTTGTGCAAATCCTTGGGCCTGTGGCCACTGGGGATGGGGGCATCACATTCCTGAGCATGTCTCTGGAGCTTGGGCTCCAAAAAGCCTTTGGCGTTGGCTTGGTGAGAGCCCCTGTCCTTTCTCTTCTCAGAGAGCTTCTGAAGTATCAGCTTCAGGTCTTCTTTGTTGGTGGCTTTTGGCTTCATTGTTTTCTTGACTTTGGGCTGGTCCTTGCAAGACTGGTCTGTGGCCTGCAAAAGACCAGGCTTCCTCTCTGCCTCCCAGACTCTCTTAGACTCATTGTGTACCCAGGACATACCAGGCCTTTTGATACCCAGAGTATTCCTGAGCAAGGCCTCCTTGGTGCGCACAGGAGGCTTCAGAAAGCTGGGTTTGGACCTAACATCAGATTCATGTCGAGCCTTGGCCACTTGGCCCCAACTCTGGCCAGGAGCCTTGGGCACGGGGGCACAGCTCTTGTCAGGGTCCTGGTGCTTCCTCTTCTCAAAGTGTTTTTGCACTCCCAGCTTCAGGCCACTTCTGAAAGCAGGTTTTGGGTTCTCTGCTTCTTGGACTTTCAGCTTGTCTTTGGAGGAGTGGTCTCTGACCTCCAAAGGACCAGGCTTATTCTCCAGCTTCCGGATTTTCCTGGATTTGTCATCCACCAGGGGCTCACTGGGCCTTTTGACACCCACAATCTTTGATACCCGCAATGGCTCCTTGGTGTGCACAGGAGGCTTCAGAGAGCTCTGTGTGCTCATAACATGAGATTTCTGAGGAGCCTTAGCCACTTGGCCAGAGGTCTTCTGAAAATGCTTGGTCATTGGGCCAGAGATCTTGTGAGTGTCCTTGGCCCCTTGGGCACAGGTCTTGTGGAAATCCTTTTGGCCAAAGCTCTTGTGAGGAGGCTCCCTTGCCTTGGAGTGCTGCTGGCAGGAACTGCTGCTGATGCCCTGCTTCTGCTTCACACCCTCCTCATGTCCATTCCCACGGGCAATTTCCCTGACACCCTCTCTTGGCACTGCTCCTTGCTTTGTCTGGGTCACCAGGTTGTCAAGGCACCACTTTTTAGCAGTTGATGGCCCAGGCTGCCAAAAAAAGAGAAAAGAAGTATTCAAGACTGGTGCCTTCTTTGACTCTTTCTGTCCTAGCACAGCTCACCAGAGCCCAGGACTCTTGCCCAGAAGTCATAAATTCTGGCCTTTAGCCTGTGAAAAAATGACTCTAACAGACCACGGGCACTAACTTGCTCCTCGAGCACCATGGATGGATATGTGAGGAATAAAAAATCATAAACCAGTCAGTGCAAATACCTAAGCCTTCATTGCAGTGAGAGGGGTCTTACAAATCAGTATTTCCAGAACAAACTAGGCAGAATTTGGTAACAGAGTACAACATCTGCTTCCTTCCTAAGACACCACACTGCAGTGGGAAAGGGACTGTGGAAGCAGCCTCTCCATGGTCTCTGTACTCACCTGACGTGCTGGCAGGTCCAGCACCCTTGGAAGGCTCTCCTCACTGTCACTGGAGCTGAGGTCTATGTCCCACACTGAGGGGCTGTGGCAGTCCCTGGTGCTCCCTGGCTCCGAGTTGCTGGGCTGTGCTGGTGCCACCTTCTTGTGCTGGGACTGGAAAACTCTGCAAGGCCACAAGGTGACAAAATTAGGAAGCAGCAGAGGGGAAGGTTACTTACTTATTCCACTGACATGGCAGCATTCAAAACTAAAACTGAGCCCTGAGTTTGGGCACTGAGAGCAGAGGGGAGAAGGCCAGAGAAGACATTGCCATACTCAAAGTACAAAGCACCAGAATAAAAAAATACTTGGAAATTATCAAACCTCCAACTCACACCCATCCAGACAAACATACACAATTCCCATAAGTATAGAAATTTTGGCTTCATCCCACTCTGCAACTAGCTATATTATTAGCATATAAAGTAAGGTTCTTAAAAAGTCCATGCAAAATACTATATTTCTTTGTTTCTTTATGTTTCTTTTTAAATAAAATAACTACACCACTTTTTTGAAAACTTCTACTTGGGCAATTGAAGAAAGTTTTACAACAAAATAACTTTAAAATGTCATCAATAGATCTATACAGTTTAGGTAGCTGAAGCATTACTTGTCCTGCCAGGCATCAAAACCATATGCAGGAATTATCAGATTCAGCTGGTATCCCTTAGCATTTATGTCAGCCTAATGCATTATCAGGTTGACAAGTACGAAGTGTGACAAGATGTTAAGCACCACAGGTTATAAAAGAAGACAAAATCTTTAGTCTGTTACATGAAGACTTAGAATTTTTTTCTTTACTTTTATTTTGTTTTGGTTTTAATCACAGTCATTGTAGTCATGACATGGTTTAGTGCACTTGGCATTGCTGGATTAACAACAGGACTTGATGATCTTCAAGTCCTTTTCAAACCTAAACAATTTAGTGAGTCCATCATAAAACAACAATTTTTCTGTTGGTGAAAATTCCCTGCAATGATGTTTTCTGAGAAGAAATTACTAATAACCCAATTTTTTGTGCATTCCAGGTTCTTTTAAGTAACTTCCCAGCAGAGATGAGAACAGAGTCTGGTTACTTACGATGTTCTTGGCTGAGAACTTGGCAATGTTTCTGAAGCTGTGCTAGCCTGCTCTGGAAAGCAAAAATGAAAAGGTTGCCTTTACATGCCTCCCTTGTAGCATATTTTACCCTGTGGTCTCTCAGCACCAGATTAGAGAGTCACTTTCTTCTAGGGAGGGGTCTGCCACCAAGATTGTCCATCACTCCAGATGGGAGTTTCCTAACTAAAAACTGCTTGTCCTCTGCTGAAGTGCTGCCTTGAGGTCTAGCTAATGATTGGTTACAGTTTCTTAAGCCATTCCTAAATTCATCCCTGTTCAGCAAAGCAGAGGAAATCGTGCTGCTTAACCAGTGTGAACACTTGATGGTCTCTGCTACATATAACACACAAAATTACCTGTCAGCACACAAAGAACTGTGTTTTCTTTGCATTTCTACTTACTCTGCTTCTGTGCTGCAGATCCGTCAGGGTGGGATTTCTAGAATAAAAGGACAAAGTAGCTTAGCATGTAGCTAAACATCTGCTGACATCAAAACTGTGTTAATGGCATGTTATAGGCATATGCATTTTTGAGTAAATATTTTTCAAACACTCCAAGAGCTGCCAAATAGCTGAGCTGGATTTCTGCTAAGCAGAAAAGATGTCATAATTTATCAGAAGCCCTGGCATAAATGGGCTGGGTCACCTTTGTTGCCACTGGAAGTTGGGAAGTCTCTGCTCTTGTAGGCGTCTGGACACGTGACAGGAGAGATGGCAGTGAGCTGCTCTTTTCCTGGAAAGAGAGGGAGAGAAGCAGCTCTCAAAATGTATTTTGTCCCCACTTATTTCCTTACTGTATGCAAAACATAAGCATACACAGACATCTTCTATTTAAGACCACTTACCTTCAAAATTTCTCCAGTCAATGGCACATCAGAAGGCTTCTTTGTCTGAAACAAGAACGAGGGAAACAGAAGGAGTTTGTTTGGGTTTTTTACTAATTGGCAGGAACTCAGCAAACATTTGCTTACCAACAGCTCCATAAATGTATTGCAGATGTAAAAATAATAAAAAGAGAGTAAGAATGAAAAAGCTCATCTAAAGAGGAGTTAATAATGGAGACCAGGCATGGAGAGAGCTGAACCCAGCAATGTCAACTCCCCCTCCTCCTCTCAGATGTCTGTCTTCCCTTTGGAATCTGGTGGTCAGGGAGCACTGTTTCCCTTTCTAAACTACTGTTCCTACTTCTCTTTATTACTATTACTATATTTATTTATTTATCACTATTTTATTATTATTATCATCATTATCATATACTTGTTATCACTATTTTTTAAATAAGGTATGTTTTCATGGTCTGCTCCCTTTATGAAACTGCACTTTCCCTAAGTTGCTGTTGAAGCAGTTGAGCCTTGCTTGCAAAGACACAGGCTGCCTGTGCATGTAAGAGTTGTGCATAAAGCCTCAGTAGTTTAAAAAAATCCCAAAACAGTTAGAAATAATAGTTCCCAATTCATCTAAGACAGTTCACAAGAATTTATGACATTTAGACAAATAAAATCAGACTCTTTCTTGCACTGAAGTGAAAAAAAAAAAAAACCAACAAAAACACCTGGGTATAATGCAACCCCACACAAGATGCAGTTTCTGCTTGGTTTCTAACTCCCATCACTGTTTAGGGTCAGGGAACTCAGGCAGGTCTCCAAGCAGGCTCCTTCTGCCAACACTGAGCTTCTGCTCAGCAGAAAGATCTCTTGTAATTTATCGGAAGCCCTGAAAAAAGTGGGCATAGGAATGTGCTCCTTGTTGATGGAGTGACAAAACTGTGCTTTGTCTCCTTAAGAAAGAAAAAAGCCTAGAAGTTTCTCTTCTCTATCAGGTAAAAAGATACATGATAGGACTTGAGAGACTTCACCTCAAACTTAAGGATAGCCAATTGGACAGAAGCCAAAAAGTCCAGCCTAAGCAATTCACTAGAAAAAGAAGAGAACAAAGAAACCAACCACTTTTGTGGGGTGTTTTACCTGGGGCAAGAACCTCTTGCACCTGGCTCAGTTTTTCTTTGTAAAGAGTTTTGTTATTTTGCCTTTTATTAAAACTTTTCTGTTTCCAACACTACCCCAGAAGCCATCCTGCTGATTTTATGCCATCTGAGGTAGCTGAGCTATCTTGGGTGTGATATAAATCTCTGAGTGCTTATAAGACCTGGCTCGAGGAGACCATAAATCAAGTGGGCTGGGTTACCTTTGCCTGCAATGGAAATTTGTAAGTCTCTGTTCTCACAGGTGACTGAAGGGTTAGCAGGAGAGGTGACATGGGGGTGCTCATTTCCTGGAAAGAGAGGGAGAGAAGCAGCTCTCAGGAGTTTTCCTGATGACACAGACAGAGTTTCACCTTTCCCAGAGTCAGAGGGATCCACTTCCCCATGGATTTGTACAGGCTTTCTCATGGAGATCTGGTATTGAGGAGTACCCACCTTCAATATTCCTTCAATGAACGGCACATCAGTGTCCACAGTGGGCTGAAACAAGAAAGAGAGAAGCACTGTGAGTTTGTTTGGGTATTTTACCCATTGATAGCAAACAACATGCACTCAGTAAACATGAGCTCCTGACCAGCAGCTCTAAAAATGTCACTCAAGTCCATTCATAATGGAATGCTAGTAAGGAATAACAGTTTCATCTGAAGGGCAGTAAGGAACAGAGACTGAGCAGAGCAAGAGCTGAAACCACCAGTCACCTCTGGCAAGTCAATGTCAGGCTTCCCTGGCAGTCAGGAAACATTTTCTATTGCTGACTCTTTATTCCTCTTATTAAGAAAGTATGTCTCCACAGTCTCCTCCCTTTATTGAATATCACTTCCTTTAGTTGCTATTGTAGCAGCTAAGCTTTGCCTGCAAAGGCATAGCAGCCTCTGCATGTGAAAGAGTTGAGCGAAGTTTCATCAGTTAAGAAAAAACAGAAATAAAAGTTTCCAATTCTAGAGAAATTCCCAATTCAGTTCTAGAGAAGGAGTAATATTTGTCATTCACCCAAATAATATCAGACTCATTTTTCTGAAGTAAGAAAAAAAAACCAAAACAAAACAAAACAACCTTGATTTAACTGCAACCCTTGCAAGGTGCAGTTGGTACTTGGCTTCCAGCTCAGAACACTGTTCCTACTCAGGTAACTCGGGCTGGCTCCAGGCTGGGTCCTCCTGCCAAGACTGAGCCCTTGCTTGGGAAAGCACTTAACCATCATCACTTGGGCTCCTGGAAAGACATCCTACTGCTTATTACACACAGCACTTGAACACAGAAAAAGGTTCAGGCTTTCAGGCACAGGAGCATTTCTGAAGGACTAAAGCAGAGATCGCAAATTTCAAACTAAGCCCAGGTAATGGACCAGCTCTGCAAGGTTGCTTTGATTCTGGTGAGCGTTTCTGGCACAAGAAAAGCACCCACACATGGAGCTCATGCAGGACAGAGCAGACTCTTCATCTGTTTTCAGCCAACTTCAAGGAAGACCTCTTCCTTCTACATGAGAATAGCAGTGATCTTGAGTTGTCCTCAAATTCTTCTTTCTGGCTCCAGATTTGGTAAACTGCAGAGGAACACAGCTTGACTTGACCTTTTTTTTTTTTTTTTCCATTTGGTTGGGATTTCTTTTGACTGTTCTTTTTAAACGCACTCCAAGGAAGATGCCACATTCCTGTTCTTTTCTGCACCCTGACACTTCCTAACTCTTGGCCCTGCCATGAAGCCTCTCACACACCCCAGTCTGTCAGGGCAGGCAATACAAGGCTGTCTGCTGGGCTGAGGGGCTCCTAAAGACATGAACAAGGAGGCTGGCTTTACAAACAGCTTTGCTCAGGTGCTCAGAGAAGAGGTAAAACCTGGCACAGGAGGACAAGAGATACATCTAAGCTTCATTGATGCTCTACTTTTAAGGCTTCTCACAGCTCATTTGGAAAGATGCTTTAAAGAGACAAGGGTGATAGAGGAGAGCAAAGGTTCTGTTTTGGGGAAGAGGGGAAAGAGCTGTTCAGTGTCTCTGTGAAGGCAAAATGAGTCCCTGCACAGTTATCCCCTGTGGATTAATTCACTCTGCACTGGATTGTGCTTGCCTGTTCCAGCTGGAAGCCTCAAGTATTTAGTGCTGCCAGGAAAAGAAGCCATCAATAAGGAATTCCCAGCGGCAGGTGACATGTGCCTTAGACATTGAATGAGCCAAACTCCTGGCCTGGAAGAAGTGGCTGTCCTAGGGGATGTCCAGGGAGGTCCCAGGAAGAATCCTGTTTGGTGTGTGGCTGTTTAGCATAACTGAGGCCAAACACTTTAATTCAGATGGAATTCAAAGCAGGAGGAGGGAAGAACATCAGAGTTTCTTCTGCTCTAGACCTCCTCACTGTCAGGGTCCCTGCAGGGCAGGGGTCTCCCTACAGCTCTTGTTTCACCCAAAACAGGAGGGAGGGCTGAGATTTCAGCCAAAGGCCCCCCTTGGTCAGCCTTCCCAAGATCCTTTCTCTGGCTGAATCTTTCTCCTCCATGCAGCACAGCTCGCTGGATATTTCCTCAGAGCCAAGGAGCCCAGCCCTGTGGCCCAACCACCTCTCCCATGCTGAACATCCAGCACACAGGCTAGAGATCCAGGGCTACAGCCTCACTGTTTCTTCCTCCTCCTCCCTCTCCAGGCTTCAGCACTGCAGGACTGTGTTAGCAAAGACAGGTTCATCTTTCAGAGCAAGTAGATGGAAGACTATATGACATCAACAGAACTGAAATGAGGAGAAAATGAAAACAGGGATTTTTCGCTCACAGAGCCATTGTCCAAAACACCCATGGAAAGAAACCAGTCACTCAGGAGCCAGTACAGAGATCCCTACTGCAGAGGAGGATCATTCAGCACATTCACTCAACGTTTCATCCCTCAGCTTCAAAATGGACTAATCCTGGAGTGAAAACTCCAGAAGGACTGGACAATGATGCCAAAGGACAAGTGGCAACACTGCCAGGTTTAGAACCAGAAGTCCAGGAAGGGTTTATTAATGACAAAATCCAGAAAGGAAGCAGAGGGCAAGAAATGTCTGATGCTGCTGCAGAGGTCTCAAGGGGACACCTGAACAGTGACAGTAATTAAGGTCTCCCGTCCTGACTGCCCTCAGACAGCAGAGTGTTAGGCAAGGGGCTGTGGGAGCAGCCTCTGCATTTGATTTGCACTCACCTTAGGTGCTGGTGCTCTTGGAAATGCAGACACTGAGGGGTTGTGGCAGTCCCTGGTGCTCCCTGGCTCCGAGTTGCTGGGCTGTGCTGGTGCCACCTTCTTGTGCTGGGACTGGAAAACTCTGCAAGGCCACAAGGTGACAAAATTAGGAAGCAGCAGGGGGGAAGGTTACTTACTTATTCCACTGACATGGCAGCATTCAAAACTAAAACTGAGCCCTGAGTTTGGGCACTGAGAGCAGAGGGGAGAAGGCCAGAGAAGACATTGCTGTGCTCCAAAAATAAAACACCATATGAAAAAACCCTCTGGGAATTATCAAACATTTAATTCACACACAGCCAGACAAGAATGCAGAAAGGATCTCACTGCCGCATTGTAAAGCTGCATTCAGCTGACTAAAGTTGAAAAAAATACCAAAACAGCCCAGTGTGTTTCTGAAAGCCCCAACCCCCAAAAGAAACACTTCCAATAAAGGGTAACAAGTTTCAGGATGGATTCTTGGTCAATACAAAAACATAGGATCTACAGACCCACTGGGGGAGAGGAAGAGAAAAGAACGAACACCTGGGGAAATACAAGTCTGGTTCTTAGGCAAACTCCAGCATGCCTAGATTATTCATTTCTAATGGGAGCTTTCCTGAAACCCCCCCCAAAATGAAACCAATTTTCAACAGCAGCCCTCAGCAGCATCAAACCAAAGCCTGCAGCTTCAAGGGAAACCAGGAACCCCTTCTCCTCTCCCCCTCAAAGGAAAAGCAGTTTTGTCTGGCCTAGAGGATAGTTTGGGAACACAACTATACCTTGGAGGACCAAGTGAAGAAGTTGTCTTTTCCACGACCTGTTTTGTTCACAAAAACAGAGAGGCGAGGGGGAGGCAAGGTTAGCTCAGGGAACTCAGCACAATGCAACCAGTGGGGATGATTTAAAGGCATGTCTGTGTGCCTGGTGCAGGCAACATCTAAAACTGACTTGGTCGGCAGCACTCTCACACTCCCACTTCTGTCTAACACTCTCAGATAATGCTTTTGCTGACAATCAAGATAAAATGGGGTTTGTGCTTCCACACAGATGACATGCTTCAAGTGTTCATGAAAAACATCACATTGTAGATCAGAACTGAAACAAAAGTATGAGTCCCTGAAGCATTTTCCATTCATCTACCTCCTCTGGCTCAAACATGCTACAGCTCTACAGATACAGAGCCAGCTGAAAACAACGGAAAAGAGGGAAGAGAGGTTTGCTGCCACATTGCCCACTCAGAAACACTCCAAGGCACAATGGCATCTAGTTCTCAGTAACGCATGAGGCTGGCTTCCCTTTGTTTCCCAAATGGAAATTTAGAAGCCCAGACATGAGGCAGCAGGTCCAGAGCCTTTGGATGAGGGGAGCTCAGGAAAGGCAACCCCCAGCTTGAGGGAGGAGAAGCTCTGGCTGCCTGGCATGAGTGTTCAGTCTGGTTCTTGAACTGCTCTAGACAGTGTTACGCTCACAGACTGAGAGGAAGGCTGATCCAGCTTTTATCCCTACTTCTCAGCCCACCCCAGAATATACTTTCAGGGCAAGCAATGTCTGCTGAGTGAACAGGAGCTGAGCTATCTATTTTTCCCCAGCCATTTCTGTAATGTATGCAAAACATAAGCAAATACAGAGATCTGTTATGGAAGAGCACCAACCTTCAAAGTTTTTTCAGTGGATGACACATCAATGGGCTTCTTTTTCTGAAACAAGAATGAGGGAGGCAGAATGAGTTTGTTTTGGTTTTTAACTGATTGACATACCCACAGCAGCATTTGGTTACCAACAACTCTAGAAATGTCATGCAATTTCATTAATAATAAAATGCGACGAAGGATCAAAAGGCCCATCTGAAGGGGAATTGATAATGGAGGCCAAGTGGAAAACCAGTTGAAATTCCCAAAGTCATCTCTTCTGCCTCTGAGAAAAAGAGGAAATCCCTTTGGAACCTGGCAATCTGGAAATATTGTTTCCATTCTTAAACTACTACTACTGCTATTTGTCATTACTGTTATTATTATTATATAAATATGTCTGTGCAGTCTTCTCCCTTTATGGAATTACACTATTATACTTTGAAGCAGCTAAACTTTGTCTTCAAAGGCAGAGGCTGCCTCTGCATTTAAAAAGTTGTGCAGAAAGCTTCCTTAGTTAAAAGAAAAACAGTCAGAAATAATAGTTCCCAATTCTTCTAAGCCAGTTCTAGAGAGAGGGGAATATTTCTCATTCACCCAAATAAAATGAGACTCCTTATTCTTCTGAAGACAACAGCAGTCTGGACAAGACACTGACTTCTGACACTTCTGGAAAGATGCACCACAGTTTGTGCAAATTTTGGCTGACTTTAGACATCCTCTTTTTGCCCCTGGAGGATTTGCAAATCCCATACTACCATTTCTCACTCTCCCACTGCTTGACAAAGTGATGGATTTAGCAGGCAAATTTGGACCAGTGGAGGTTTTCCAGGGCTGCCCAGAGACACACTATGGAGAGAAGTTGGCTTTGGGCTACCCCAAAGAGCTGAGTCCACCCTCAGCTGGGTGCAGAAGCTGGCAAGGACTCCACCCCTCTCCCAGAAACACTTTTTCTGGGCACCCACTCCTTCCCCTCCCTCACCACACTCTCCAAGGAAGATGCAGCATCCCTGCTCCTTTCTGCACACTGATACTCCCTCAGCTGGGCTTCCAAGCAGCAAGGACGAACACTGCCCATTGCTGGTAGCCTGAGGCTGATTGCAGTACTCTGCACTTTCAAGAGCTTGAGATCCAGAATGGTGCTTTGTCTTTTTGGCATGAAGAATGGCTCCTGCAGAAGGCAAGGCCCTGCAGTGCTCTACTTCTCTCAGCTTCCTCTTATTTTCCACAAGATGTTGCCTTCAGTCCTTTGCAGCTGATAGACACCCTTTTCCAGGAAAAGCTGACTGCAGCCTCCAGCTCTTCCTTCTCCTTCCAAAGGCCAAACACAATTTGAAAACCATCTCCATGGCCCTCCTGAACCAGCTGCCATGGCTCAGCACTGTGGGCTCCTACATTCTGTAGGGCACAGCAACATCCCAGTGGTGATGGAGGAGCCTGGCAAAACCCCAAAACGCACCTGGGAACCAAGTGCCTTTGACCTGAGGAGGCAGGGCTTGTGTGCTGGTCCCTTGGCCTTGAGGGATTGCCAATAACACAGCACCCCAACAATTGAACTCACCTTGACAAGCTCAGGAAGAATTTTGGATTGTGGAGCTTTGGCTTCTGACCTCCGATTTGAGAGACCTTCATTGCTGTCATTGTAGTTCTGCTCAGGGAAAAGTCTGATGCCCAGTGATTCTGGTGAGGGTTCTCTCCATATGTCCTCATATGGATTTGTCTTACTGGAGGCTGGCCTGCGACTAGGGGCCCGGGACCTGGGTTTGGGCTTTCTTGGAATCCATATGGGATTCAGAGGGGACTCATATCTCAGGGACACCTTGGGGTCCCACTCGCCCAGCAATTTCTTAATGCGCCTTGACAGATCATCTTCTTTATTGGTCTGCAACACAAGAATAGAGGGGGAAATGTCAGAAACACCCAAAGCAAGAGATCCAGCTCAGCAAGAGACATTGCTCAGCATCTTCATGGAATCACCATGCATCCCCCCAAGGATGTTCAGTGCAGCAGATGGGAAGATGCTGTGTTTGCAGGGATGAGGCTCAAGTCTGCTATAGCCCATGCAGAAGATACAGCTCTCCTCTCCCACCCCGAGTCTCTTTCCTTCTCTCCTTCCAGCCTGCACTCCACTCCCATTACCTTGTAGGGACTGGGAAAGAGGGGAGCCTTCTCTGGAGCTACCTTCCTCTTCTGCCTCTCTTGCTCCAGAACACGGAACAATTCTCTGCTGTTGTTCCAGCTTTTAGACAGAGACAAAAAAAATATACTTAACACTCAAACCCCTGTTTATATTCTGTGCAGAAACGGGGGCTTTCCCACAAGGGCACATGTCCAGCAGTAAAGCAATGTTGAAATTCTCAGGATGCTGACAGTGGACAAATCAGTTCTGTCCAGTGTGTGCTGTGCCCCAGAGCAATGAGACACACAGGGGACAGCACACATCCTTCTCAGGGATTGCTACTCCTGATCCCAGCCATCAAGAAGGGTGGGAAGGGAAAGACTCTGCCCCCATTTCCTTGTGAAATCACAGGGGTGATCAGCACATGAGCTGGCAAATCCTCTTGCAATGATTAATGGGAGAAACTGGCACTCTTGTTCTCCTTCAGACCTCTCAGCCCAGTCTCCCCCCTTGTGTGTCAAACAGAATCTTCTATTCTGAAGGTGTTTCAACTTTCAAGGCTTGAACTTTGTCCACTTTATAAACAATCCTGGAAATTCACTCTCTACTTTAAATGGATATTTGGAAAGCTGCTTCCCTCGAAAATCATGTAGCTGCATTTAAAGCCATCCTATCAGCGTGATTAGAAAGGAGTTCTCAGACATTCAGCAAACACCAGGTCAAATCCCCCTGTTCCTCCTCAGCCACCTATGCATGTACTCAATCACACCTGCCCCACAACAAAACATCAATAAAGTGTCCCATCATGGGAAACCAGATCCTTTAAACTATCCCTGGCCTTTGAAAGACTACTGCAAAATGAGGGAAACTCTGGCTCTGATATTTATGGACATCGGGGAAGGGAAAGCATGCAGGCACAGTGGATGCAGGTATCTATTTCTACTCTACTGTACAGCCTTCTCTATACACACAATTCATAAACTCTTCTTTGCAAATCCAACTTCCCAAGTGTCCCATGTTGCAAGGGCAGAGCCTTGTCTGCTCCAGCAGTGACACTTACTCCAACACCACACCAATAATCAGCTCCTGAAAGTTTAATCATTCCTAGAGACAAGGCACAGCTGCCTCATCTCATACTGAGGGGCCGTTACTTAAACTAAACAGGTTTTTGCACTGGATGGCATTCCTAATTCAGAGTACATAAGTCTGCACGCTACTGAAATGCCCAGACTTTTTAGATAAGCCTATAGATCTCCCAGTCTCCCCAGCCCTGGACACACCTTTGCTGCCCATGTCTGACCTGGCCATTGAAGGTGTTTGTCAAGATGCTCTTCAAAGCCCTTGCAAAGCTGAGCTCTGCTGCCATTCACAATCCTGCACAGTTCCCTTGAGGCCAGGGAACTTTGGGAACTGCACCTCCAGGCTTAGCACCAACACGCCCAGCACCTGGGAGCCTTGGTGCAGGGGGACTGCACAGTCCCACGCCCTCCATCTCCAGGGGGAAAACAGCTCAGCAGTGCAAAATTAAAAATAATCCTGTACTTGCTGCTGCTGCTCTACACTTGATGTGTCAACCCCAACAACTCGACTGTTCAAAGAGACAGATGAGACTGAATGCCTGCCCTGAATTATCACCTCAGTTCTCATCATCTTCAAATATGTTCCACAAGGAGTAAAATCACCCCCACCCCAAAAAAACACAACTCGAGCTTTGGTATGGACTGAAACAGGAAAATACTCCCAGGCCGAAAGCATCCCAAACTGCAGAAGGGAAAGCCCTGGCTCCAGTAATAAGAGATTAGTTTCAGAAAGTTCAGCAGAGGATCTGCCCTGACCCATGACAACATCCAGGCCTGGAGCTGTAACAGAAGCTCTTAAAATAGCAATGTGCTCTGAAGCCACTCTCACTAATAGGACAATCCTTACTTCACTTGTCCCACTCCAGAATTCTGATTCTTGCATTGGAGGAGGAATTCTTTTTCTAAACCATCACAACATTCATCACAGCACCCAGAAAACCAAGATTACTTCAAATTAATTCCTACCTATAGTTGCTGTTCTGGTTGTCCGTCGGTTCCATTATGAAGCCTCAGTTCGAGTCACCTTCTCTGGAAGAGAACAAACAGAAAATCACCAGGAGTGATTATCTGCACAAATTTGTGCCTAAAGGGGAGGTCAAGATCTCCAGGGGCTTGCTACACTTAGAACCTGGGTGCCCGACGGGGAGTCATTCCAGTGCTCCTAAACATAAACCATCCAAACACACGTAGCTGAGAATGGGAGAACCAAGAGATCCATTTTCCCCTTCCCCCAGCAGTGTTGCTGCATTTCAAGTCAGCACTTAACCCCAGATTTGGCCAAGAGCACAACAAACCAGGCCACTGCTATAGGCTCCAGGAAATTTAGTTCAATTTTCAGAACAAAAGTGCCCTAAGAACCCTGCAACCCTGCCTGTAGACAACGAAATGGGCCCCACATGAATGGCAGCATTTGTGGAAAGAGGAAGGAAAGAAATGGAGGGTAAAAAAACCCCATAAAACAACAGTTCTATATGAAAAAGTAACAATATTCCCTCACCAGATGCAAGAGGAAATCTTGAAGTGCAAGATCTCAAAAATGCAGAAAAAGGACTGAAAACATTTACATTTAAATTTCTGACATTCACTTGCAGCATCTCACACTCTAGAGGGAGCAGATTTCTCACTGGGGAGGAGGCTACAGGAGCATCCTGTGAAGTCTTCTGCACCACCCCACTGAGGACAACTGGTGTGAAACATGAGCTCTAGGCCATGGCTTTAACACTAGGGAAGGGACCAGCAGGAACCATTCTGCAAGCCACAGAGAGACACAGGCCATTACAGATGGGAATCCTCTCAAACCCCCACCTCCCCATGCAGCTGGGAAGCCTAAGAATAGACACTCACACTAAGCTCAGAGGACACATCTGGAAGCAACACTGCATCTTTGCTGCCTCTTCACCATCATGAAAACCAAAATGTTGGCTGGGAAACAAACTGCCTTAAAAGAACAAGGTGCCCACTTGAATTTAAAGGTAAATGAAGGTGGCAGAAGTAGCAAGAGCATACAGGGAGAAGTCATTCCAGCTTTCTTCTAACTTCTGTTGAGTGGACCTGGCATTGACATAACTTGTGTACAGAGACATGCACACCTACTTGTGAATAAACAGCATGGCTGGGAGGCCTGCTCAGCTTACCCTTAAGATGGCCACAAAGCACACAAGTGGCCAGCAGGAAATCTAGATTCCACTGAACAGCCAAATGCCCTTGACAAGGCCAGGTTTTCAGCCACAGTGGAGCTTCATGGATTTGAGGCTGCACAGGCGGCATGAACCTGACACTATTCGCACAAGGCACAAATGCTCTTGCAACCAAGCTGTTCTTCTGAACATAAGCTTTCCTCGCTGTGGAGAGGAGAGCAGGCACCCCAGTGACCCTGATGGGAATTCTTACAAGCTTTTGACAGCACTTTTTTTGGCCAGGCTCATTTCTGCATCCCACAGCAGGACATGTTTAATTGCTCTTCTTTCTGCCTTCTCCATTCAGCCACAGGCAAAGAGGTGTTCTAATGAAACAAGGAGGCTCGGAAGCTGCTTGGAAACTTAAACCTTATGTACCCACCTCAAGAACTTTTCCTTCAAATGTTGCTATCACTAAACTTCACATGATATTTTTATGGACAAATCTTGGTGTTTTGCATATATTGAGGTATTTGAAGGGAAAACTTGACATAGAGTAAGAGAACACATCAGATTCATAGAACCACAGCCCCATAAAACCATAGAAACATAGAATGTTTGAGGTTGGAAGGGGCCTAAGATTTCACCTTGTCCCACTCCCCTGCCATGGGCAGGGACACCTTTCACTAGAACAGGTTTCTCAAGGACTTGTCCAACCTATCCTTGAATGATTCAAATATTCTGGTGGCCATTGTTCTTATATACATATGATATACAAATACAGATGTAGACAAGGCCATTGTAATTATAATGGCCTTGACCCTTAAAACTAGAAGAAATATAAATAAATAGCTTTGGCTTCATGTTGGGATGTGGGTGTTTCCACATGGACTTTGCAACCTCCCCCTGGAGTCCCTGGCTGTGACAGTTCAACTGTAAGAGCAGCCTCGAGCAGCTGCTCCCACTTCCAACGGGGCAATCCCAGGCCCCAGCTGGAGCACCTGCTGCAGGCACTGCCCAGGAAAAGCCCAGAGCTCCCCTGCCACACATCTGCCCGGTCTGCCCTTAAGCCTCTCCTTCTCAGTGCTGGCACCTTCTGGCAGCACATGGGGCAGAACCCAGGGGCCTTTGAGCTTCCCATGTCACCCTCCTTTCCCAGAGATTGCCTGGCTCTTCTGCTCTTCAGAGACACTTAAAATTCAAGCTGAATCAGCAGCAAGCCCTCCTGCAACCTTGCTCTCTCCACTTGAAAGTGATTTGTCCCACTGCAAGCTGCGGAATAATAAAGCTAAATGGTTGCATAAAGAAGGCTTTAAAGGCAATTTCCCTGGTCAGTGACTCTTTCCCAGTAAACTGCTGTCAGCTTGCAGAGGCAGGAGCAGAGCCTGGGTTTGAAGCTGTTCCTGTTGGTGCTCAGTGCTGGAATGCAGCAGAGACAGCCATGGCTGGCCTGGTTGCCCCGTGGCAGCAAAGCACAGAATTACCTGGCACAAGCCACCAGGCTTGTGGGTGATGAGTGACTCCTGAGTGGCAGTAAATAAATGCGCTGCGAACAGGCTCTGAGGCCAAGCAACACTCGCTGCACGGAGCTGTGCTCGCTCTGAGCTGTGCACTCTGCGGGGCACTGCCCAAAGAGTGCCCCAACAAAGACAGTTCCACCGTTGGCACAGCCTGGGTAGCAACAGAATGTCCCAGGCACGGCTGGGCAGTGCCCAGGTTCCACAGAAGGGTCAGAGGGCACGGAACCCTGCTGGAGCTGCCCACACCCCCTGCTGCACTGCACTGCGGGACCCCAGCCTGCCAGGCAGCAGCACACGGGCTCTCCCCAGGGTGGACTCGCTCTCGGCACTGTGGTCTCTTCTCTGGCTGCAGTCTGGAGTAATTTTTTTTTTACCTTGACTTTTTTATCCTGGAGGCATTACCACTGTTATTGATGGCCTTCATTACTGCCAGGGGTGGGTACACCTTGGTGTTATTTTTAAATGAACTACTTCATTTCTACTCAAGAAAAGGAAAGTGACAAATGCTAAAAACCAATCACATAAAGCCAAGTTCTAAAATTATGAAAAGCAATATATGAATAAATTAGGTTTATTCCATCATAACCTGTTTCTTCATTTAATTTGATTAATTCAGGTTGTTTGGTGCTCTGATATCAAAAATGTCTTCTTTCTGGTGCTGTTCCCAACATTTGAACACTACTGTGAGAATTTTTTGGCATACTTTAGGATCTATCCTTATGTATCCCCTCCAGCTCAGAATATTCTATGATTTAGGACCAATGTCCCTGTACTCAGCACTGCTGAGGGTGCATCTGGAATCCTGGGCTCAGGTTTGGGACCACACTATGAGGCTGGGGCATGTCCAGAGAAGGCATGGAGCTGGTGAGGGGCTGCTGAGGGAGCTGGGCATGTTCAGCCCCGAGCAAAGGAGGCTTGGGAGGCACCTGCACGAGGCTGCAGCTGCTGCAAGAGGCTGCTGCTGCTTTCCCTGGCAGCCTGCGGGCAGCTGCGGCTCCCAGGCTCAGAAGGGCTGAGCAGCTTTGCCAAGATCTTCCTGCCACATCCCCTGTGGAATCCTTAAAATCAGAGGGTTTTGGGAAAGCTGCAAAAGGCAGGCCTCAGAGACAGCAGAACTGCAATTGGAGCTAAGCAGCAGCCCTAAGATTTGTCAGAGAAAAATTATATACGAAGTAGAAAAGTAAGGACAAATAGAACAATGGTCTGTGCATTAATGCCTGTCTAGAATAACTCCCTAAGCTACAGCAAAGTATATCTAGCCAGATGTTAGGAAGTTCTAAGCTTAATAATAGAGCTCTGTGCATTGTATTTTAAGGCTTATAAGCAGGCCTTTTATTCAAAATAAGCAAGCATTGTTTTAACCAAAGGTACATGTGCCTATAGTGGTTGGATAGAACTACTGTCAATACGTTTTTGCTTTGTGTGATTGGTCAAAAAACTTTTGTGTTGTAACACTGAGTTCTTGTCTGCTGTTGGGGACATGAGCTGCTGGCATCTTCCCATTGGCATAACCATGTAATGAGACTGATGCTGAAAAATAAACAGCTCGAGGCACGTTCCACAGCAGTCCCATCCCTTTCATGATTTGTACATAGACCCCCAGCCAGCAACATCCCCCAGCACGTGTGCAGGGGCTGCTGCCATCCCTTTGGGCAGAGCAGGGTTCAGGGTGCCCTGGAAGAGGCTGGCAGTGCGCAGGGGCAGGCAGGCAAGCCGGGTGCCAGTGGTGCCACTCAGGGTGAGGGAACTGTGCATGGCCAAAGGCAGAAAGCTGCCATGGCATCTGGCTTTGGGCAAGGCCTGTGGCCACCATGGAGCCAGGAGAGCTGCTGGGAAAGGGGCCAGAGCCCTGCCAGCCTGGGGCTGAGGGCACCTGGGTGACACCAGATCCCACCTGGCACATGGAATGTCACTGCAGCCCATGTGCTTTTGCAGCCATCGGGAAGTGTATGGGACACAGAACATGCCCATTGTCTGCACTTTCAGTAAATTTCAGTAAATCAGGGCATTTCCCAGTCTCCTTGCAATGTTCCCTATGGCACAGCAAGGTTACAGGGCTATGGGCAGAGAAGAAACCTGAAAGGCTTTCATGGAGAAATGTCCTGCTCTTGCTAGCACCACTTGAGGCTATTGCCTTGTGTCCTAGCCCTTTTACTTGGTAAGGGCTAAGTAAAGATAGAAAATGTGGCTAAATTAATCTTTCTGTGACTTGTTTGGAACTACTTGAGCATGCTAACTCAATGTTGTATTAATGCTGTCTTTGACTGCAATCCTGGATTGAAATTTCACAGAAATTTTTAGATGAATGATAGAAGTAAGATGATTATGTAATAAATTAAAATCAGCTATGCCTGAAAGGGCCCCAGTTATTTCTGAAGGAGATTGACGTGTTTGTGCATATCCACGTGATGTGCAGACTGTGACACGAGTTCCATGGTTAGAGATGAACAGCTCTTCATGTTTTGAGGGTGCTGGAAGGTGTTTAGATTTGTGAGAATTTTATTATTTTTTACACTATAAGGACTATCAGAAATCTGCTGGGATAACAGTCTGACAACATTCTGATTTCTCTTGATGGTGTTTTAAAGATCTGCAAAGGTTATGGCAAAATGCTTCTGTCTGTTTCTAACTTCACCATGTTTTTCTATTTTGAGTGAGTTGTGGTAGATCATAGTTTGAATGCTCAGTATATGAAGGAATGAAGTCCCATTTCTCTCACAAGTTTCACTGAAGAGATTCCTGTAGAAGCTGATCCAGCAGAGTTCTGTAGAGCTTTTAAAAATGACTACACAGGACATAAAATTGTATATAAATTTAGAAGGAATATTTCTATTTTTACACAGTCACTTATGTTTTCAAAGTAATTCCTAAAAAAAAAGGTAAGTAATGATTTGTGAAGATTTTAAAATTATTTCCTGGAATTTAGATGGAGTCATGAGGTGAGATGCTCGTCCATGCACTCTAAATGCATTTATTAACCCCAGAAAAGGAAGCCATTGTAGAATGGAGTTCAAACAACGCCCACTGGAGGGCAGTGTTGGCTGCCAGAATCGCTGTCAGTTCCTGCTAACCCCGAGGGTTTCCGCAGCCCGGGCTTTGGAAAGCCTGGGGGTGACAGATGCAAGAAGACGCCCCACATGCTTAGACCCCAGAGATAAGAATTGCTTTTTCCCCTTCAGGAGGAACTTCCCTGTTAGTCTTGTCTTTGTTCAGGACCCAGGACATCCCTCTGGCTGTCCTGAGCAGCCCAGACCCCTGCCAGGGGTCTCAGAGACCCAAAATGCCTGTGGTTTGGATTATGATCCGTGGAGCAAATTACCAACCTTGTATGAAGATCAGCAAGCCACAAGAGTTTAAGTAGAATATTAGTGAAGTTATCACAGGGTAGAAAAGTAGATTTTAGGGTTTTTGGTATGGGGGTTCAGGAGGCAAGATGGAGGGAACTGGGTGTGTCCAGCCTTTCTCCTTCTTCTTCTTGGCCTCTA